CTCCATCAGACTCAGCAGAACTCCAGAGCAGGAAACTGGACCTGCTGGGCTCGGGTTCTGCTGCAGTCGAACCCTGAATTCTCCAGATACGACTTAGTTTTATCACCATGTGTGGTAATATTCTAATAACCATAAAATTAAGATATGAAAGCTATTTATTACTGTGACTACATGGCAGCATTCACAGCGCCATAAGCCCCGACCTTACAGTCATTCCTAATAGGAACAGATTTCTTTATTTACTGATGTTTAAACGTGTCAAACTGAAGGCCTGAAGAAATAAAACTTTCTGTTTCATATCTGTTTGATATTACTTTATCAAACAGGGCTGGGCAATACATCAATAACGATATATATATATATATCACACACGACACCTGATCAATATCAATAGATAATATATTCAATAACTCACTGAACTCGGACCCAGAACCGCACAGCATTCTGGGAGATGTAGGCAGAGGAAAAGCTTTATCCTCTCAACCTTGAGTAACTTGTGGTTGCCTAGCAACGTGTTGAGTAACTTGTGCAACAGCATTTTAAGGTTTTGCTGCGTAAAAATAAAAATCAGTTTGGAGTGAAATCTGTGGATAAAACGTCAAATCTGGCAGTATTTAATAATATATAATCAATAATTATCAATATTGATTGATCTGAAACGCTTATATCATGATACGTTTTTCAGCTGTATCATCCAGTCCTATCAAAGCAGTTTTTATCTGTATACCACCAAGATGCATAAATGTGAAAGATATTTAATTTAAAGAAGTTTTCACTGAATGCAGATCCAGCTGCTTTTACAGTTTATGGGTTTTATCAGAGCCGGCCCTTTAAGGATGTTTGTGATCCTGGAAAGACCCAAAATGAAAATGACTTCTGTCTTTTATTGAACATTATCAGTTTAAATTTAGTGAGCCAGCGATAAACCAAAGTACTCATGATGAGAATATTTTAACGATACGATATGATAGGATGACTCTAACCTCAGGAGTTTCATCCATTTTAAAGGAAAACGTCTCCAAACATGGCGGATCTGAGCAGCTTTCTGTATTTCTGAGTGAATGTAAACACGGTTTCCTGCTGGGACAGGCATCTGCTTGGTTCTCAGCACAGGAAGGGGAAACACACAGACACACACACACACACACACACACACACACACACACACAGTGGGAACAGAATCATCTGTGCAGAAACGGAGCTGGAGCATGAAGATGCAGATAAGGCTGATGGTTGAGCTGCAGATAACATCTAATAAATGTGTTTTTCTCTCTGTTGCCGAGGAGGAATCCACTCCACTGATGGGCCCCACTGATGGGGCCCCACTGTTCCCTGGAGGGTCCACCCGGTCAGCTGCTCTGTTTGGGTTCATGGTTCTGGTGCCGACCCAGGGTTCTAACCGTTCTGGGTTTTAGGTTTTTTTTGTTGGTCTAATTCAGTTAGTTTTAGTTTTCAGAGTGTTAGCTAGTTTTTATTAGTGAAACATTAACTGTTCGTTCTAGTTTAGTTTTTTCATACTAAATTAACCACAGTATTGTGATTATTAATACATAGATCAGGTAATAAAGAAAATAACATTTTCATAAGATGTGTTTAGTTATTATTGAATAAGCGCCAGCCGTTCTGTGGGCTAGCGTAGCGTAGCCGCAGGAGCAGCATGGACAGCTGACGTAAACTGCTGGTGTGGAGAAAAACATTAGTTTCACATCAGTTCAAGAGGATAATAAATAAATGATATATCTATAAATTAATTTGCTTCTGTTAGTTTTATGAAAACATGACAGTTCTAGTTTTTCCTGAATTAATTATGGTTTTTATTTATTCCAGTTAACTAAAATGTTTTCTGAACTTCAGTGTTCATCATTTCATGAGTTTTATTTGACTATAACTGAACCACTGTAGACAGCTAATAAATAGTTTATAGAAATGTTTTCATCTATAAACACTTTAATAATTAATAACTGTTTCCACAGGGATGGTTCTGTACTTTATTTGTGTCATCAGTCAGTAAATATTATCAGCTGACTGATTCAGTCAGAACTGACTGTTTCTGCTGACTGCAGAAGTTTAATAATAATTTCTGTATCATGAAGTTATTATTAAAAACTGTGAGCAGAAAGAATCTGACTGTGTTAAAAGTGTTGGCAGTGGAACTGATTGGTCCTGCCGCCTGGTCGGTCCCTGAAGCAGCGGGTCGATCTGGACCATCAGGTCACATCGGCTCTGCAGGAGCTTAAAGTTTATTTATCCAGTTGTTTTCTAATGGCTGCAGCTTTCAGGCTCGATCCAAACCGTGTCAAAATGTTTCACTGGTAAACATGGAGCTGATGTCTGCTGTTGGTTCTCTGCCATCTCACCAAATGATCATTCAGGTTTTCTTTCGGTCATGTCTTCCTCTCAGATAATGGTTGTTTAACAACACTGACCGGTTCTCAGCCATATTTCAGTTATTTCTGCATCTCCTTATCAGTGGGTGTTTATTGTATGTTTTATAGTTTACCATGAAAACTTCTCATGAGAATTTGATTTATTGTTGTCGCAGTAAATGTCGGTTAATGTATCAGTATGAGTAAATTTGGAAATCTATTTTTTTTGCCTTGTCCAGCAGTGGAAACTTCAAAATATGGTGAAATGAATATAAATCTGTGTGCAGTTTTCTGATATTAATCAGGATCATTTCAGATAGGAATGGTTTTCAAAACCAACATTTATGTTTCATGAATCATTTTATCCGTATCACCACAGAATAGAAACTTCCAGGTCTGTGTGGATGTCTCTGTGCTGGAGGCGAACTTCGTTTCCTGAACTCTTGATGTTTTTTTCCTCCTCATGTCTGTTGGATTCAGGAGGAAACTGTCTGTTTGTCCAGGCTGAGTGTTTTTCTGCATATTTAAGCAGCCAGAAGCTACATGCTACATGCTAAGCGGTTTGTTTTGGGCCTGAACTCTATTTTCCTTTGATTAGGCCCTTTTCTCTCTGAGCCAGAGTCGGTTCTGATTCTGTGGATCGAGCTGCTGAAGCCTTCATGGTTCTGATTCCTGTTCATATCTAGCCAATCACAGACCCCGCGGCGCCTGGTCCACTTCCTCCCAGCAGCTCCGGGTCGGTACCAGAACCTCCACAGTTTATCGGCTCAACACTGCAGCCATTGTTGCGTTGCACAGTAACTCCTTCGGCTGCCGTGAATGAGTGTTTGTGGAGGAATCAGATGCTCTTATCAGCTGTGAGCACGTCTCGCTCCAGCCTCTCCTGCAGGTCAAACGCAGGGCATTCTGGGAAAAAACAGAGTTGGTTAACAGTCATTATGAGTTTTCTGAGAATATGAGTAATAACACGATAAATTTAACACAGTTACCCAGAAATTGAATTATTCTGATGTCATGTGGGAATGATTTCCATAACTCCTCATTAGATTCACTGAGTTAAATTCAGATTTCACAGATAAAAACGTTTCACACTCCAGGATGATCTATTTATACTCCCACCGGTCTGAACAGAAAGATCCACAAACCCACCGCTAGCTTAGCTGATGTTAGCTTAGCCTGTCTTTGTGCTTAGCTTAGCTTTATTGAACTTATTGAAGCTCATTTATCCAAACATTAACTGGCTCAGTTAATGGCTCAGTTTTGTAAATGAACTTTGTTTTGTGTTAGCATAGTTTTTTATGTTAGCTTAGCTTAAATTAGCTAAGTCTAGCTGATATTAAGTTATAGTAATTTAGTTTAGACTGAATCAGGTTTCTTAGTTTCCCTTGCTGAGGGAACCTGGTTTATTTTATAATAATAATTCATCTTATGTTAGTAATATCAGCTCAGATTGTTTTCAGCATATGAAGGTTGAATATATTAGTTTCTGAGGATGAATGAATCTTCTACAGTCTGATCTAAATGTCTTTGCTATTGTTTAGCGGTACGTGTTGTCTAGTTGCTACGCTAACTAGCCTCCCTGTATTTATGAACATGGTTCTTGTGCAAACATCAAACTCTTATCAGAATGTCAGTGTGTATAGTTTCTTATCACATCTGTTCTTATCAATATTGTTTATCAGTAATTTAATAATTCGTCTATTTCAGTACTTTGCTCTCTAAAAGTGAAACCAGGTTTCAGCAGATATGAGGTCAAAGTTCGGCACAGAGCCTGATGGATGACAAATCTCCCATTTCCATCTCCAGTCTCTGGTAGCGTTTAGTCCTGGTTCAGTCACACACTGACTGAGCAGCTGCTGCTGTTTCAGGAAGCAGAGAGGTTCAGCCGGGTGGAGGCTGCTACTCCTGCTCCCACACATCGTCACTTCAGGAGCATCAAGGTTTTTAAATTCCTTGAAAGGTTGAGAGAGGAGCTGCTGCTCCGTCTGAGTCCTGAAACAAATGTGAGAGAGAATCCCAGAAAAGCCAGAAGGAAGTCTGAGCTGGGATCCAGCATCCTCTCACATAAACAGCCGCCTGCTGCCGGATGAGATTAGAGCCGACGTGCGTGCGTGCGTGCGTGCGTGCGTGCGTGCGTGCGTGCGTGCGTGGGTGCGTGTGTGCGTGCGTGCGTGCGTGCGTGCGCGCGCGTGTGTGTGTGTGTGTGTGTGTGATGGGGACGATAAGGAGCAGCTTTTGAGGAGTAAACGCAGCAGAGCAGCAGCAGGTGTAAACTATCAGGCTGCTCTTCTTCTCAGGATGTTTCCAGTTTAGATTTATTCTCAGGAAGCCAAACACACAGGAACAATGTGGGGATGCAGCGAGTCTGCACGCATAAACAACATCCGCTCTGATGCTCCGATCAGAACCACCTGGTTCTGACCCGTCTGGTTCTGACCTGTGTGGTTCTGACCTCTCTCTGGTTCTGACCTCTCTCTGGTTCTGACCTGTCTGGTTCTGACCTCTCTCTGGTTCTGACCCGTCTGGTTCTGACCCGTCTGGTTCTGACCTCTCTCTGGTTCTGACCCGTCTGGTTCTGACCTCTCTCTGGTTCTGACCCGTCTGGTTCTGACCTCTCTGCCTCTCTCTGTCCAGATGAGCGTGAGGCGGTGCAGAAGAAGACCTTCACTAAGTGGGTGAACTCCCACCTGTCCAGGGTGTCGTGTCGGATCACTGACCTGTACATGGACCTGCGTGACGGCCGGATGCTCATCAAGCTGCTGGAGGTTCTGTCTGGAGAGAGGCTGGTGGGTTTGGACCATGAACACAAACACTTACTGGTTCCATGCAGGTCCAGCTGGACCAACGAATACACAGAATTCAGTGTTTGGGAGGAAGAGCGATTCTGGCTTCGCTTCTTGTTTTGACTCAACGCTGGACAACAAATCAATAACATATATAACGACAGACACATGATCAATATCAGTAGATAGTAAATCTGACAGGACATTCAGTAACTCACTGAACTGACCCAGAACCGCACAGCATTCTGGGAGATGCAGGCAGAGAAAAGGCCTTGACTAAGCTAGGATGGCGGTTCTTGGTTTCCTAGCAACAGCCTGTAAAGCAACACACACCTTAGTAGTTTCATGTTTCCTCACAGCTGCTTGAATAAGGAACAGAGCGAATCAGGGAACCGGATGGACGGAGATCAGATGTTAGAATAAAATAATCTGGGATCCTCAGAGCTGACGGATGAAACGGTGAAATCCTGACGAGTTTTACTCACTGTTCTACTCAAACTGACAGAAACACCATGGAAACGTTCAGCACAGTGTGATGAAATTAGCAGAGATTATATCAGATTAAATCGTTTAAAGAGAAACTCAACTGGTTTCCAGTTCAGCCTCAGTAAGAGACACCAGCAACGTCCAAACGGCTCAAACAAAGTCCAGAGGGACCAATCAGTCGGTGGCTGGATCCATTTTACAGTTTTTAC